AAGTCATTACAGAGCTTCGCCACGATATAGCCTTTTTGTGCTGATGTCACGCAAAGCAATCATCAACCAATCAATCCTTACAGAGTTAATTAAATACCTTTCCTTTTGTATCTGTGTTGTTGTAAATATAGAAAATTATGTGTTTTATCATATTTACGGCTGTTATTTCTAAAAAAAACACCATATTTGTGTTTGATTCATTTTTTTTTCAACTTTGCCAAATAAGGGGAGATAACTCAGATAGTAGGGGAGATAACTCAGATAAAGTAATTTTAAAATAGAAAGTGTTGTGAATTTACCTACTTTAATATGTAGCAAGAAAACAAGTTCGGTGACCCCATTTTTTTTTCTTATCTGAAAGCATGTTATTAGAGCTATCTTCTCACATTTTATCTTAAAATTCTATCATGTAGTTTTCTTTTTAAAACACAAAATTGGATTTTCCATGCATAATCACCCCCAAGGGTGACTGGGGAATAAAAGTATGGTCACCATTGGTCTTCCTCCGACCGGCAGTAAAACCCTCGCAAAAGTGTGGCGTCCGTTTTGGCTGTGCGGGATGTACAAATTTGCAGCCACGTCCAGTCAGAATGGGGACGTTAAATCCGATGCCTCGTGTAAAGAGAGTGCCACGCTTTTTGCACGTTAAGAACCCTTGCAACAACTCTTTGAGGGGTCCGTAGGTGACCTGTTGCAGGGCTAAATTTCTGGCCCTATCCAATATACCCTCATTTCCCGTGGCAGTCTAAATTTCTCCGACCTTAATCCCGGACGCCTCTATTACAGAACCTACCAATTGTATTTATTGTTAATTTGTTCTCGTCCTGAATATGCATGAAATATTTCCCACTGGACGTTAAGCAACCAACAATCAATCAATCAAGCAATCAATCCATGGATGCATTATCTATACAAAATCTGACAATTTTGCACAATCTGTAGCGTGAAAAATAGTCCGGTGACCCATCCTTTTTTATTATATTTTTGAAAAAAGCATGATAAAAACTTCGTTTTGATAAATTATAAAAAATTTCTATGGATTTTAATTAAGACGCACAAGCCATCTTAACTGTTGTTTTAAATGCTATATGTTTCTTTTGTTTTAAAAAGAAAATAAGATTTGAAGTTAATATGTATTGTGATTAAGCAAAACCGTTAAAGTCAAATGAAACAAAGGAAATTAATGAAGGGAAAATGTATTTAAACAATGAAATCAATAAATGATAGACTTTCAAAGAATAAAACAAAGAGATCTTTGTTATCTCCATAAAAAAAGTGATTTAATAATCGTCCAGTGAAGCATCGTGTGTACCTTTCAAGTAAAACAAACATATTCTTTCAATATTTACATACAACAGAAAGATTTCAAATTGTAACATTGTTAAGGGACATTTGTAAGGCTCTGTGAAATAAAACAAGTTGTAAAGGGTTTCAAGTAATTGCTGTTATCAGCTAAAACTGAAATGATGACTGTAAAAAGTGTTTCGATTGATAATTTGTCTATGCTGACTTATTTATCAATCTTCTCTATTATGGGTTTCAAAATAATAGGCAGCAACGCACAAAGTTGGTAAAATCTTCATTAAAGAGCATTAACTCCAATAAGGAATCGAATAACAGTTTTGGTCATGTTGACTTATTTGTAGATCATGTCTTGTTGATCATTTGTGTTATTTAATGTTTGTATCTATGTATTATAGTTTGGAAAGATATAAGGCAAACACGCAAATATAATAATCGTCATTAAAGGGCAATAACTCCAAAAATGAGTCATGTGATTTTTTCGACAAAGTTGGCTTACATGTAAATATTGTCCTGCTGGTAATTTTTCCTTTTAACGTTTCCCTCTATCTATTACAATTTTAAAGATAATAGGCAAAAAATGGAGAAAAAAATTGTTAAAATCCATCATTAATGGGCAATTACTCCTAAAAAAGTCGTCTCACAGTTTGAAAGAAAATGAACGGTAGCTATATCGCAACATTTTGAGCATTTCTGTTCCTGTCAGATTTTCTATATATACCGGTTTTCGAGATAATAGACAAAACTGGCAATTTACCCCTATGTTCTGTTTACAGACATGTAGTGCCAGTCGGGGTCATCGGACACATTTTTTTTATCTAGATTAGAAGGTCGGGTAATTTTGGACTGCCACGAGAAAAAGAGGGTAAAATTGGATAGGAACAGAAGTTTTGCCTAGCAACCGGCCACCTACGAACCATTTAAAGATCTTAACGTGCAGTCAGCGTGGCACTCTTTACACGAGGCATCGGATTTGACGTCCCCATTCTGACTTCTTCATCCCGCACAACCAAACAGACGCCCCACTTTCGCAAGGGTTTTACTGCCGGTCGGAAGAAAACCTGTAGTGACCATATTTTTATATCCCAGTCACCCTTGGGAGGTTTAAAAATACACCTCAACAATATTTGTGACCAGGTTTGGTTAAATTTGGCCCAGTAGTTTCAGGGGAAAAGATTTTGGTAAAAGTTAACGGACGACGACAAGTATTTGGGACTGAGGAAGACAATCTCCGGACTCAACTGAGAGCCAAGATATACCTGGGATGGTATTACTCATATCTGATATGAAACACAAATTGGTTACATGCATATCGTTTTATTATGTTAAGTTATTTATTTTATTTGCTTATATATGCCTGGAATATAGAAAAGTTATTCTCTAAAGTAAATTTATTAAATAGATTCGTTCAAAACTATTTTTTTATATATTTTTTTCAATGTGGATATTTTAATGTACTTTAACATGTTTAAATCGACAAAAAATTGAAATAACATAGTTTACGTTAATCAAACAATATAACGGGTTTAAATACACTACAAACCAGTAAAAGTCTGAAATGGCCTATATTTGTACTCGACTGTACTGATTTTTACTCGACCAGTCTGAATTGGTCTGAAATTTACTTGATAATACTCGACTGTAGTCTGAACCATACTTAACAATCTAAACTTGTACTCGACCTTTACTCGACCAGTACTTAACCATTTTATTTTCGTCTGAACCATGCTCGACCTAGTCTGAACCATGCTCGATCTAGTCTGAACCATACTCGACCTAGTCTGAACCATACTCGACCTAGTCTGAACCATACTCGACTAAGTCTTAACCAATCTAGACCTAATTTTTGTATCTATCTATTGTATTTCATCAATTTAGGAACTGTTTTTAACAGCTATTTCCCCTGGCTAGAAATTTGAACAACAATTTGAAATTTAAAATGTATTCAATATGGCATTGAAACCAAAATTTCACAATAAACATAATATAAATTCAACACCATATTTATTAACACTTACATATATATATCACCATTAAAATAAAAATAAAACAAGCTGATCAAATAATCTCAAAACTGAATTGCGACTAATATTTTCAATGTTATTCAAATTTTTTTTAATGTTTCAGATATATTTTATGGTTACTGGACAATTTTCACCATTTACTTAAGCCTTGTATAGATTTATGGTGTCAGTTGAGTTTAGTTAATAATGCAGTGAACATTTTTTTTATTAAAATATATTTAAAATAGTATATAAAGCAACTTAAGAAATTTTAAAAATCACACTTTGTTTTGTAAAATCAAGAATTTAATATAATCATGATAATAGAACTTCCATAGCAATCCTTGATAACCATTTAAAAAAGGAAATGTGTTCCAAAGTTGCAGAAAAAATTTAATTCAATTAAATTTAAATAATTTTTTTCAAAATTAGAGACATGGCACTTTAATAAGGTTTATTTACCTCAGTACATGTGTGTTTTACAGGTAAAAAGAAAGCCCTTTTTTCTTAAACTCGTCTATTACTTATCTAGTGAATTCAAAAGGCCTTGCGATTTAAGTTTTACAGGATGTTGCAATTTTTAATGAATGTTAAATAGAAATTAATACTCTCTGACCAGGTGTGATCTTTTTAATGAGTTTGCCCCAAGCAGGAGGTATTACTCTATACTTTACTACTAATCAGAAGAAAAATTTTATCTATTTCTTTAATTTTTTTTATTCCTTTTTGATATATATTATATATAATATATCCCAAATTATAATAAGAATAGATATATTTCTAATATAAGGTTAAACAATTTCAGTGATTTTTTGGCTGTTGTTACCTCATTAAAAAGATAATTATATAACTATGGTATGCAACCATGAAACCTATATAGTTTTTCTTAAGGAATTTAGGAAAATTAAGTTTAAAAAAAAACACATGCCAAACAAGAAGCACCTTAATAAGGTTTTATTACCCTCAGTAAAGGTGTGGTTTTTAGTTAAAATAAAATCTTTTTTTTAACAAAACTCTTAAACTTTAAAATTAATATAATTAAATTATTATATAAGATAATTTAATTTAACTATCTCTATTTGATAAATCTGAGAATCATGTAAGGATGTAAAAATATGTTTTTATATATATCTTTATTTTATTATGGCTGTTGTTAGAGACATATAATACAATTGTAGTATATGTCTCTACTGTTGTCATGTCAGAAAAAAAACAATTAATTTTAACAGCTAAAATTTAAAAAAAAGTATAGGGTTTTTTGGTCAAGTATGGTTCAGACTGGTCGAGTATTGTTCAGCAATTGGTCGAGTATGGTTTAGACTGAAAAAATTGGTCGAGTACAGGTCGAGAATGGGTTATAACTGTTTCAGAATGGTCGAGTAATAGTTCAGGCTATTTTCAATGGCAAAGATAAGGGTCAAGTACAAATCAGTACGGTCGAGTATGGTTAAGACTGGGGTCGAGTAATGTCGAGTAAAATTCAGACCAATTCAGACTGGTCGAGTAAAAATCAGTACATTCGAGTACAAATATAGGCCATTTCAGACTTTTACTGGTTTGTAGTGATATCGACTAAAAAAAATGTAAAGAATAATCAAATTCCGATATTCACTGTAAAATATGATAAATATATATATATAATGTGGTCAAATTGTTTTATATATTTAGCTTTTAAAACTAATGATTAAAACTCACCTCACTGAAGTTTGATATGTATTTCACTATTCAGCCTTTCTTACCAATCTATTGTTTGAAAAAAAATCCATTTACTCTTTCTTTCTTTAGATATTGATGTCTTTAAATTACATTGATACCTCCGCAATTATAATTGTTTCAAATTTGTTGTTAACCTTTTTTTTTTAAAACTTTTACTTGTAAAACAATGTGAAAATTAACAATTACTTGTAAACCAGTGTATCACACAAGTTAAATGTCCGGTGAGAAGTATAAAACTGATCTAGTACACCGAAGTATGTAATATGATATGATTCAGTTTGGTTATAACTTATTGGTGTTTTAATGCAATGTATTTCTTTTGTTTTAAAAAGAAAAGATAAGAAGCCAATATGTATTGCAATTCAACAAAACCAACACCGTATATCATATAAAACAAAAGGAAATTAATGAAGGGAAATTGAATTTAAATAATGAAATCAAACGAGAAAGACATACCTTGTCAGAAAGACAGATTTTAAAAGAATACTAAACAGAGACACCTATTTTTTTTTCTCCATAAATAAAATAGGATCGATTTTAAAATCATTAAGTGAATTAAAAAATCGTCAAGACAAAACATTAACATTTTTACAATAGTTACATACAAAAGATAATCTTTTTCTGACCTAAAAAATAAAGAAAACAGAAATGAAGGATCCCCCATCCAGACCCTCATACCACACTGTGATATAAAATGTACGTCTACTCAGATTGACCGAATTGCACAACGCTATAACTCGCCTATTTTACGTGGACCTGCGCTGAAGGAAGTCTATTTTTTTTTTGCTAATATACTTAACTAAAAAAGTCCTGATTAAAACTCCAACCCTTGGACATGTTGAACGTAAAACGTGGTGAATATTTGAACTGATAATCTAGTTAGGCAAAAACCAGCTAATGCCGTTTAGTTGTGTGTTGTCGGGTTGCTATTTTATTGATGTAAACCTTGCCTCTTCTTTTATTCATATTTTATGTTTTATATGTCAAAAAATTGTTACCTATTTACTGAACATTGAAATCTAGATGTCTGTCGGTTTTTTTTGTAGTTGGGTTTCTGTCTGACTGACGTATATCTCACATCTCCTTTTATGAATGCAGCACTAAATTATCCATGTGCACATATGGCTGAAAAAAAAATAATATGATAGCATTTGTATGACGTATTTTTAGGACACCTGTCCATTGTTGAAGACACGTCTCCCTCGATTAATTTTGTTTATTTCAATTTATTTTAATTATCTTTCGGTCGTGACCTTGTACACAATATGGACATTAATAACTATGATTATATATCATATTGTATCTGTTATAGAGCACACATGTGCCTATCATTAAACGTAGGTAAATATACTAAGCAAAGTACGCATTATTTTTTATACTATGTTATTTATTTCAATTAATCCAACACTGACTATAAAAAAGTTGAACAGCTTTTTCCAAAAAAGGACAAACCGTTAGTAAATATCTGCTAACACCAAAATAAAACCCCAACAAATAGTTGCATTCCTATCTTTATTTTAAGCACATTAAATGTTGAACCCCGGAAACAGAATTCCCATCAAAAGGCTACTAACCTCTTACGGTAGATATGCCTCTTTTTGTACTGATGAGTCTTTCTATCAATCCAGACTTTCGTATAATGCTATCTCTAACATATATTTGTATTTGTTTCCGTTAAGCAAACACTATTCAAATAATCTATCAATCAACATTTTGTTTCTGAAACAAGTACACGCATACCAATAAATGAGGACACGTCAGCCATTTTCCCTGCGACATTTAAGAATCTATGCCATGTAAAAGTCAACATTCAGTTTTCAACTATTTACAAACGTCCATTTAATATGTCAACGTCTAAATCGCTAGGGATCTAGGGTAGTGCATACATTTGACGTAAAAAACTCTTCGAGGTCAAGATAGACAAACTTCAATACAATATGATCAGCTCTGTGGAGACATGTGAAAAAAGGTAGGGATTTCTCGCACACCAAGTTCATTATCATTGGAAAGCTAAATTTACAGTTTACTAGCAACCGCCATGTGTGAACCTCGAGGTTTTTAAAATGTCAAAAGATGGCCTAAATTGCCTTTTTATAGATTTCGGCAAAATTTTGATAATTATCGCAAAATTTCAACAACAAAAAAATAACAAAATATTTGTTATCAGAACAAAACTTCTGTTTCTCAATTGAAGTAAAACTATTCTTTCAATTCAATGCATGTAGAATTTGCGATATTGTATCAGCATTTTTTTGTTTGTCGAGTCTGAAGAAAAACATAATGTTTGGCGAATTTAAAGGTTTAAAAATAAAGGTTTGCTTGTTTGGTAGTGTTTAAGGCATCTTTTAGTCTTGGCCCGATAACACAGTTATGTCGAAGTGCATTTCTTTTAGACAACAGATGAAAATTTAAAAAATCCTTTCTCAATAATAATGTACAGTGAGTTGTACTACTCTTTGTTATCGATTCTGTAAACACGAACCACATCCAGACCCTTAAACATGCAGTTATATCACGACGTCTATATCCGTTAGAACGGATGTACTTAAACACATATCTCTTAATTGATAAAGCTCAATCGGTACGTTTTTCCAAAGGCTAAAAATACCTTGGGATATACTGACGTATGCGTGGTATATAAAGGTAAACATACAAAAGCTGTCAATACATTTATTAAAAGTCAAAATGAACAGACGGGAAATTATGTTCGATACAGAACAGAAAGATTTCGATTTGGAGAAAGTTTTAGAATTATTGAAGAAATGATGATGGTACTGTAACGTTTGTCGGTCACTTTATTTGGTTCGTTTATCTATTTCATTATTAGTGTTTGTTAATTGTTTTCTCAGAAAGATTGATTATTATTATTTTATTACTTTCTGATTGTTTCATTCATTAAATTTTAGTGACGTAACAAACCTCGCATTAGCATTAAAAATAGTTTTCCCTTCTCGATCAATCAGAGAACTCGATTAAGTTCCTGGGGAAATTTAACTCGTGCAGCGATTGTCTTCTGGAAATCATTCCTAGCTCAGATTTACGGGTGTGTAGACTTATAGGTAAAAAGGGAAATTTCCACCATGTGCGCGATTTTTTTTAAGTGGTCTCGGTGAGGAATGTCGCACTATTTTTGTGCTATATTTAGTGTATTATATAAATTGTGTATTTTGGCGTTTTCATGGTAAGAAGTCCCCCCTACCATTTGTTAAAACTGGCTAGTTTTTGGGTCAAGGTGGTTTGCATTGAATATTTAAGCGGAAACTTTGATTAATTACGTATTGAAACGTAGTTTTTTTAGAAAGCAGTTCGCGGGTTAAATAAGTTAAATTATGAGCTGAGTTTTTGAACAGTTCTTTGAACTGAATAAACGTTGTCAGTTTGCGAATATAGAAATTCGATTAACAGCTTGTCAGTTGTTTAGGTTAAAGTTATTTATACATGTAGATAGCTGGAGAAAAAGATTAAAGTTCGGGGTCATTATTTGTTGACATTTTCGTATGTGTCTCAAATCTAAGACTTGAACTTAAAGACAGAAATTTAAATTATTAAAACGTAAACAAGCGAGTTTTAAATGCAAATCCTTGCCAGAACGGCAGAGTGAGTCTTTAGAGAAAATTACAGTTTTAAAAACATTTACCTGTGTTCTAAGAAATATAGAGACTGCTGACTAAGAGACTATTGGGATTACAAAATCGTCAATTTACTTTGAGACGCAGCTGAATAAGGTTACTAATAACAATTGTGTGTTGTTTAATAAAAATTGTGCTTTACTGAATTATTTTATTACAGATAAACGCCTTGTCTCTTGGTTAGGTTAAGTTTAATTATTAATATTTATTCGTGTTACCCCTCTTTGTACAGGAATTAACCTAGACATCAGTCATTCCCTTTGAGCATGTGTTTCAGTATTTCCTGACTACAGACCGTTTGTATGAAAGCATTTTCAGGACAGAACGAGTCTTATTTTGCTTCAACTTCCCTTCAGTGATTTACACGCTGGTTCTAATAATTTGAATATTTGGTATACTTGTTAAATTAATGGCCTTGAAATTGAGAACTAGTTTTCAATAAGGTCTGACTTTACGTTTGTTGTCCCGTGCTTGAAACGACAACTATCATCATGTCGGGCTAGTATATTTTGTCCGTCGGTCTGTTCCACCTTTATTCATTGTTTAATCCCAAACTTGTTCACATGTAGTAACTTTACTCTGAGACTTACTTTGAAGATAGATTGGGATTGTTCTTCATATTAGAATTAGATATACCGAGAGATATTCCATTCGAGATGCAGCTTGATGGTTGTGGTATGAAACAGATGAGACAACTAATATACTGAACTTCTACGAGAACATTTGAGTTTGTGAGTTCTATAAATTCATTGAATATCCTCTTGTTGAATGTTCTGTCTTATGACGAACCAGATTGTTTCACCTGTTGATATAGATAGTCCGATACTAGGACAGTCTGACTGCGGTCAAGGTAAAACAATTAGCATCTGGTTAGTCGTAAGATCAGACTAGTCACTCTTGGTCATCACTTCCAGAAAGAGTCTATCAGCTATTTATGACTGGATGTCTGGGTATTATTACCATTAGATATATAGGTCATCAGTTCGAGAAAGAGGCTAGAAGCTATTTATTACTTGATGTCTGGTATTATTACCATCAGATATATGGGTCATCAGTTCGAGAAAGAGGCTAGAAGCTATTTATTACTTGATGTCTGGTATTATTACCATCAGATATATAGGTCATCAGTTCGAGAAAGAGTCTAGAAGCTATTTATGACTGGATATCTGGGTATCATTACCATCAGATATATGGGTCATCAGTTCGAGAAAGAGTCTAGAAGCTATTTATGACTGGATATCTGGGTATTATTACCATCAGATATATGGGTCATCAGTTCGAGAAAGAGTCTAGAAGCTATTTATGACTGGATCTCTGGGTATTATTACCATCAGATATATAGTTCTTGACAACACAGGTTTAGACCATTTATAAACTGGTGGCATAAACCGGTAAATAATATACCTAATAAAACTTTTAAATATTCTAAAGACAGGCATAACTATAATTATTTATAGAAGTAGATTTTTAGACTAAAATAAAAGATGTTGGGTTGCTGTCTAATAGATACAAAGTCATGTTAAGGGTCAATAGACAGTACCCCGGCTTCGTTTTAATACTATTTTATTGGAATAT